GACACCCCGGCCACATTTTGCAGAATCGGCCGGTGATTGGCACACTCGATGATCGACAACCCACGGTACGTTATTCTCGATTTCGAATTCTTTACAACGATAGAAGGTGAGGGGCTTACCGAGATGTCCAATACGAGCGGTGGTTTCGTTTTAAGCTGCAGCGTTAAGGCGGAATCGAAATTTAGACGGTTGTTACAAAAGAACGAGAGCACAGGGCAGATGCCGAATACAAAATGCTAAACCGCGTGCCCTTATGCCGGTATTCGGACACCTCGTGATCACCCCCACCCCAGGTCGAAGTTTCCGTCTTCTCGCGAAGGCATCTTCGGCAGGACCTCCTCTTGCTCCGCGACTTCTCTTCCTCTATCGCTGGTCCTTAGCGGGGAAGCGGCAGGGTAGCGGAACCTTCCTTTGGCGTACGTCGCTCTCTCGCAGACCTTCTTTCTCTTACTCCGCTGCCTCTCTTGGTCTATTGCTGGATCCGAGCGGTAGCGGCAGGGTAGCGGTGCGTTCCCTCGACATACGGTGTTCCTTCGCTGGTGATGACGTCGTTATCCGATGGTACATACAAAATAAAGCGGCGACAGATTCCGATCGTACGATATTTTATATGCGCTTCGTTCTCTCTCTAGACGGTTTATGCCCCTAATGCAATGACTGTTCGGTCTCCCGAGGAGGTTCCTTGTGACGGGTATAAAATACCACGTCACACCTCATTTCCCTTTTTCTCCTTTACTGACTTGTCCTCCGCTCTGCCTTCCTCTCCTATTTCCTCCTCTCTCACCACCTTCTTTATTTCTTCCTCCTCTCTATTCATTATCCTTATACATTTTTTTCTCTTTTCTCTCGCTCTCTCCTTCTTATCCACTCCTCCTTCCCTGTCTTCCCCTCCTCCTTCTATATTTCCCCTGGTTCCAGCACAACCAGGGGAGACCTTACTTCTCACACACTTCCCCTCGTCTATTTATTCGCCTCTCAAACCCAAAACCCAATATAAATAATAGTTTCTCAGTGTCTATTTATACACTACGCCTCTCCACCACCACTCGACAAAAACACAAATTAAATAAAAAACTCAAATAACAGTAAGCTGACGCACGTGCTTCCTATTCACTCGCCGCCATCTTCCTCAATGTCCGGACTATATCTGTAGTTGTTTGAACATTTAGACTTGCAGGCTCCTCTATAGAGTTTGTATGATCTATGACTATAAGATGACGTAGATATGTCACGTTTTATACTTTACCGCTTGTTTTGAACACTTAATTGCTATTTTATTTTACTTACAACCTTTTTGTCTTATAATTTTACTTTATAATTATAACTATAAGGACATTATTGTGTGAATTCTTTTATTTATCTTACTGTTAGTGACCTTAATGAGGGATTTTGATTGGTTGAACAAGGCATAGTGAATGCGCTACTAGTTCCATAATCTATGGACTATATCTGTAAGGTTTAAGGTTTTTATTTTCTTCTTTCGAAGATGGCGTTTTGGCCGACATACCGGCTCATTTCGCCTCTACACTTTTCCTACATCAATTCAGCGTTCCGCAGCGCCACCACTCGGTTACATTTTCTTTCATCCTTTCACTTCATCTGACATCCACATCCTCCATGTCCGCACTCGGTCTCCCCTCCTTCTCCCCTCATTTCATGCTCCACGCACGACTAACACAACTCTATCGTTTTCTTATAACAACCATTATCGCTTCCATCGCCCATACTCTCAACATACTTAAATTCGCTTTTCTTACAACTACATAACATATATATTCTGTCAATAAATACTGTTTTCACAGGTAAAACGTTGTATAGACTACTTATACACAAACGCTTTCTGCCGATAGCAGCCCCAGCTCCGATCCTACATATCACAATTTTAAACCGCATTTTTTAATATATGCGCCTAACAGTCTCAGGGGTCTCGCCTCCCCCATTTCTTTGGTTTCGTAAAAATCGTCTCCCTCTCTCACTCCACATCTACTCATTCTTCTCACAAACTCACCTCTCTCCCTACAAAACCTCTCACACTCCCACAAGAAATGATCCACATCTTCTATTTTATCGCATGTCTCGCAATACGGATCCGCCACCATGAATTTCCTGAAGAGCGACCACTTTAAATTGTAGTGATTCGCCCTTAACCTACTTATACTGCAGAGTGTTTCCCTGCTTATCTCCCCTATCCCCCTGAACCATGGGAAATCTTTCCCCACATTATTCCATCTCGACTCAAAATATTTCCTCCCCTTGTACTCCCCCTGCCTTAAATGCTTCTCAGTTGATTCAACCCACCCTCTATCTCTTATCACTCTCCTCATGTCCCTCAACGTAAACTTCACCCAAAAATCAGGGTCCCCACCATGCTACCACCATCTTCCCTCTATTCTCACTCCCTCTTTCGCACTCAAAATTCCTCCTCTTCAATCCATTTCTGATCAAATCCGCCTCATCCCCTGCATCTTGTCCTCTATTATCCTGTGCCAACTTACTCACAGTGCTCAGGGAGTCAGACAGAATCAGTACATCCTCCCCCCCTAAACTTCGTATCCGCAATCTCTATTGCTTTCCCTATTGCAGTCATTTCTATCGTATAGACCGAACACTGGCTAGGAGCAGTGAAAGTCTCTTCATCCCACTCCCCCCCATTTCCTCTTATCACTACCACCCCTCCTCCACTTTTTCTACTCTCTATCCTAGACCCATCCGTGTAAATCTCTATCACATTTTCCCTTCTTCCAAACATTTTTATTTTAATCTCTGTCAACAACGCCCACTCATTCATCCCCGCTACTTCAAAGCTCTTCCCACATTCCCATTCCAAGCAGTTTTCCATTCTATAACTTCTCCATTCCCCGTCATATTCCATTGTCTTTTTTCTACTCATTCCCGTCTTTATCTCTGCAACCTTTCTCCACGCATCAACCATTATATCCTTACCTTCCCCCACTTCCTCCTCATTACTATTCCTGATTCTATTTTCAATTGCTCTCACAACCTCTTCGTCTCTATTCCATAACTTTCTTGCTATATACCCCTCCGCCAATGCACTTATCCTTGATTCCAAATCCATAATCCCCGTCTCTGTTTCCATGACATTAATTGGGGTCGACATCCTATAACCCAGGGCAATCCTAACTCCTGCATTATGAATTCTCTGAATTTTTTCCCTATTCCTTTTGCTACTCAGATAAAACGGAGCTCCGTTTGTATTCAATTACAAACCTATTCATGGCAGCAAACACCTTTAAGATCGTCTCCGGCCCCGTACCCTTTCTTATTCCCCCCAAACTTTTTACTATATTCATTCTTTTCCTTAGTTTACTCACCACATAATCTGTATGCTTTCTGAAGTCTAAACCTCTATCTATCCACGTCCCCAAAAACTTCGCCGCCTCAGCCTCTTCTATCCTCTCATTTTCCACTATAAATTCCTCTCTGGTCAAACCTCCTCTCCTTCTATTACTCATAAACTTTACAATCTGCGTTTTTTCCATCGCGATCGACAACCCTATCTTACTAAGATTCTCCTTCAACCTTCTTATCGCCTCCTCTATCTTACTTTTCCCCTCCCTCCTTCTTTCAAATTCCACAAAAATAACTATATCATCCGCATATTGCAGGATTCTCACTCCCATTTCCCTCAATCCTTCTACAATTCCGATCGTATACAAATTATACAGTAACGGACTCAATACAGATCCCTGTGGCAAGCCCTTCCTCATCTTCATCTCTATACTACCTCCTCCCACCGTTCGTATCTCAAGTTCCCTATCCTCCAACCATGACTCGACATACCTCACTGCCCTACCCGGACAACCATTACTCCTAACAATAAGTTCCTGCACCATTATATCATGTCTGACGTTATCATAAGCTGATTTCACATCGATGAAAGCTGCCATCACCTTTTTTTCCTTTACTCCAGCTCTCCTTAACGCCATTAATCAGTATTCCAATATTATCCATAGCTGATCTCCCTTTCCTGAAACCATTCTGGTTAATATCCATTTTATTCTCTTCTTCCGCCCATACCCTAATTCTTTCATTAATAATTCTCTCCAAAATCTTCCCCAAGCAGTTCATCAAAGAGATCGGGCGAAGCGCTCTCTTTTGTGGCTTGGGTATGAACTTAACTATCGCCCTTTTCCATATCCTCGGGACTATTCCCTTTTTCCATACCTCATTGTATATATCTAATACCGCTTCCTTCCATTCTCTCGTCCATAGCTTCATAACATCATACCCAATTCCATCCTCTCCTGGTGCTGACTTCTTCTTACAATTGGCTAAGGCCCACTCCAGTTCCTCCATTTCCAGATCCCTGTTGATCCATCCTTCCTCCCCTCGACGGGTCTCCTCCTCTCTTCCATCAACCACCTCACTTCTCCTCGTTGTATTTTCCTCTCCATCTCCTTCCTCCTCCGCTTCCTCAGTTTCTCCACATCTAAAACAATATCCAGACTCCTCCAATTTCCTTACCTCTTCCTCTTCCAACTTTTGTATCTCCCATACACCCAAATTACTCTCATCCTCCGCTGTCACGCCCTTTGTTAGACTTCTTATTTTCCTCCACATTTCTCCAATATTTCCCTTATACTTAATACTCTTTATAAACTCGTCCCATGCTTCCTTTTTTTCTTATTAATTGCCTCCTTCATTCTTCTCCTAGCTTCCACTAGCTTATTCCAATTCTCCTCTGTAGGCCTCCTACCCATCTCTTTGTGGCCTTCCTTCTTTCTTCCTTTAGCTCCTCACATTCATTATCCCACCAAGGCTGCCTCTTAATCTTTCTTTTTTTCCCTCCGTTCCTATTTCCTCCCCCCTCTCCATTCGTATTACCCCTTCTTTCCGTACCTTCCCCCCTTACTCTTTTTTAACAACCTTCTATTCCCTCCATAAGGGCTCTTACCACCTCCCCACACTTGACCTCAATCCCATTTCCCGATCTCGCTATGCTCTTGACCTCTTTCTCACTCCTTATCATCCATTTCAATAATTCTGTTTTATCTATTCTCTCGAATTTATACTTCCCAACTCCTATACTTCCCTCTATTATCCTCATCTCCTCATAGATATTGAATTCAATTACCTGATGGTCCGATCCTAACGTTTCACCCGTTTCCTTGGCCTGTATATCCAGAGCCAGATCCGCGGGTGCTATTATAAGATCAATATTTGACGCCGCCTGATCCACTCTCCCTATCCTAGACATCGTCCCAAAATTGACCACTACCATTTCCTCCTCATCCATCACTTCCTCCAAAACCATCCCCGCCAGGTCCGCATTTTCGCAATTCCAACTCCTACTCTTAGCATTGAAATCTCCCACAAAAATTCTCTTCCCCCTTCCTCCACTATCCTTCAGCAATCTCCTACAATCCTCCCTGCACACAGCCATCCCTGGTCTTCTATAAACCAGCACTATCTCTAAACTTCCATTTTCAGTTTCAATTTCTACACACATGTTTTCCCACTTGTCATCATTTCTTAAAAATATATCTACTCTTTTCACCCTAATATTCTCCTTAACCATCACACACAATCCCCCTCCTCTATTTTCCCTCTCCCCATCTTTTCTCATCAAATACCATCCCGGAATCCTAAAATTATCCCCCTCTCTTAACCACGTCTCCGTTACCGCTAATAGGTCCAAATTCTCCAGTAGCCTTCTCACCTCCTCCCTTTTGTTTCTAATACTCCTCGCATTCCATATCCCGCACCTCATCCCTCCTTTCTGCATCCACGAAGCGTACTCCCTCTACAAACTCCCCTCCCTCTCACCATTTTTCCTCTTTTTTTTTCTTCTTGAAATCATTCATCGACCCTCCCCATCTTATCCTCTTTATTCTCTCCTCCCCGGACCGAGTGCCATCTTTCCCTTTCTCATCACTCCTCCCTCTCCACACACAACAAATCAAATCATAACCACTCATTCTTACCCAAACTTGCCTTCCTTCCATAACCCACATCACACACAAAACCCTAAACCTCTTCCTCATATTTAACTGGTATTACACATAGAAAATATATGAATATAAGGTATAATATATTATCAACATCATAAAAACTGTATCAAAATATCCCTCGCACTTTTTGTAATATCTAATATATAAAAAGGTAACTGTAATACAGTCCGTCAGTCTTTCCATTTCAATACTGCTTTTCTTAAAATTACTACTGTTTAAGAATAAAAAAGTTATAACAAATATATTAAAGATATACACATGTTCAAAAATATAAACGCTTAAATATAACCCTATATTTATCTTACTAGTTAAATCCACTCTCATACATATACTTTTCCATCGTATCGAAAAAATCAAACAAAAAATACCTACCACACCCAACCGCAAAAACGAGAAAATAAAAATATAAAATTTTCTTGATTTCTTCATTAAGTCGCTAAACTTTGTCTCTGTCTCTGTCTTTGTTCTCCACTTTGGTACCGTTCTTGATTTCTCATACAACGCTTGACTGCTTTCGCCCTTAACCTCTAACTCAAATGCTGTTTGGGAATGCAGGAATGGTCAAGGTTTCTTCAATTAACTGAACTCGATTGTTTGTCTTTACTAATTTTAATTTTAACACAAACGACACTGAGTATTACCACGCACACACCGAAAACAAGACGATTCACACACGGAGACGAAAGACGTGAAAAATTAACTAATTGTAATGGGGAGTGACTAATAGCACTGTCGGATGGTAATAGCGATGGTGTATCTGACTCGGGGTTTCGTTGTCTTTTAACCGGCGAGAGCTAGACCATCACCTGAATTCGGAAACGTTCCTTGACGTCACGAGCCAATCAGCTGTCGCTAATCCGGCGCACCGTGGTCGGAACCAATAACCGGATTAACGGCAATGCTAACGGTAACGCGGCTGAACAAAAACATTGTCGTTAGATTTAAAGACCGTAGGGACGCGGGGAGACGAAATGGTTTGTTTTCGTCTTGAGGTGAATTCAGGGTCGCCTGCGCTCGCCGGTTACAATACGAAACAAATGCCTTAATTCTATTCTGTACCTTCCACTGTAACAACATTGCACTTCACAATATCGCTGATTCTTTTTCTCCTTCTTTTCTTCCTTTCCTTTATTGCACCTATATCCTTTATAGCTCCTCTACCATTTTTCTTTCTTCTCTTTTCCCATTTCCTCTTCCCTTCGTAGGTTGTCCTCCACATTTCTATCTTCCTTCTCCCTTGCCCCTTCGTCTCTTTCCTCGCTGGACTTTCCGGCTGGCCTTCCAGCCCCCATTTGTTCGCTCCCTACTCCCAGTGTCCCTTCCTTTCTCATTTCCTTAATTTCTTCCACAAATTTCTCAGCTTCCTCTCTCTCCTTCCTGGCCTTCATCTCCCACAAAATCCATCCTTCCGGATTTCCTTCCCTCTTCCTTCTCTCTTGGGCTCTCTCGTGCTCTCTAGCCGCCTTTCTACGCACCCTTTGACTGGTCTTTTCATCAACATATGTATAGAACGGGGGAGTTACTACCGCATTCTAGTCTTCTTCTTCCTCCTCTTTTTCTTTTTCTTGGGACCTTTGTCTCCTTTCCTGCAACTCCTGAACGACTCTCCCCTCCATATTTCTCTCCTGCAAGAAGGTGATCAATTCTTCTAACAGCTTTTCCTCCTCCCTTTTCTTCCTCTCCTCAAACCTCTTTCTCTTTTCCTCTTCTTCCCTCATCTCCCTCCTTCTCTCTCTTTCTTGCTCTCTCCGCCGATTCTCTTGATCTCCCTGTTCCTTAGATCCCATGTCTCCGTCTCCCACCATTTCATGTGGAAAAGGAATTTTGTTCAACGTCTTGAACCTTTCACTCTGGGTCTCTTTTGCCCTCTCTACTTTCTCCTTGCAGTCAAGGCAGATATACTTGTTATTTGTCAGGACCAGATCCGTGCGTAAATCATAGCACGCCGGCCTATTTCCCGACCTAACTTTTGTCCACCCTCCTGCTCCTTCCTCTCCTTTTTCCTTTTCCTCCTCCATTCCTGCCGGAATCATATTGCCTCCTTCTCCTTTTTCTTCTGTCCTCTTATTTCGGACCACCTCACTATAACTCCCCATTGGCTTGCTTGTTCCGCTTCCTCTTCCTCTTCCTACCTCCTCTCGCCCTCTTCTTATCCTCTTCAACTCTCCCTGAATTGGCACCTCTTTGTTTTCCCAAAACTCTCTCTTTTCTTTCCTAGCCAAGCTCGAGAATTCCCTGCTACCGTTCTCCACCACTTCATCCAACCACCCAACTCTATCCGGCTCCTTGTCCCCTAGACTTCTCGCCACAATCCCTCTCGCCGGCTCAAACTCGACGTACCTAAACGGCATGATCTTTTTGATTGCAGCCTCCCGCTGCCAAACCCAGCACACTCGAGCCAGAGCACCATGCTCCTCTCCACAGTTAATACACTTTGCCTTTTTATCACATTGTCCATGCTCCCTTTCCCCACAGTTTAAACACCTCCTTACCGCCTCCCGACAATTTGCCTGCAGGTGCCCAAATTTGGGACACCTGAAGCACTGCCTCACTGGTTCTACATAGGGTTCGATTTTAATGCCTACATGGCCCTGTCCAATTAACAGTCTCGTCGGAAGGACGCTTCCTTTGAACGTAATCATAATTGTCCTCAGGGGCTGGAAGGTTACCTTCCCGTCCACCACTCGTCTTTTCTTCATTCGTTCCAGGACAAATGTCCCCTGTCCCGGCATCGCCTCCTCCTTCAGCTCTTCTACCGAGTCTTCCCACTCGAAGATGACGCCTCTTCTATACTTCATCCTCTTCGGTAAGAAAGTCGAAATCTGCCCCTCCCTACTTCCGTACTTCTTTAACAGTCTATTCGCCTCTTCCTTGCTTCTTATGAATACCTCCGCCTTGCTGAAACCAGTCATTCGTATGTTTTTAATATTAATTCCCGCGCCCTGAACAAATCTGTATATTTTGATTAAATTGTTTCTCTTCGTTCTATTTTTTCCCCTGGACTTCAGCACGCAGCACAACCCACTCTCTTCTTTCACGCGTTTGCGCATTGTCTATTTTTTTATTTTCGTTCCCTATCTCACTTTCTTCTTGTCCCTTATCCCCGTTTCCTACGCTATCCCTACTAGCTGCGTTTTCAATATTTAGTCCGTTTTCTTTTTCCTTATCAACTACAGTCTTATTGCTATCCTTAACTAATCCGCTATTGCCATTACAGTCTACAATATCGGACTCAGAGTCTTTTTTACCTTTTTCCGCTTCACTTTTTTCTATGTCTGCACTAACTATTCTATCTGTACACGCTACTTCGCTGCTATCCACTTCAACATCCACGAGGTAATGGCCGACTTTTTGCGCGTCGTCTAATAGTACCTCACGCTCTCGTTTACCTTCATTCGGCGCTGTTGTCGCCAAGTCTACCAACTTTACCTTTTCACAACTCATTCTTCTTTTCCATTTTCTCTTCTCTCTGGTTCTCCTCGTTCTCTCCTCTCTACTCCTCTCTCCCTCCTCTCCTTCCTCTATCTTGTCCCTGGTTACTGGCCAACCAGCGGGCCTTCTAATTCTCATACACCTATTCTATTCCTATCCCCGTGTCCTTATCGCACTTATAAATATAAATCAAAACTATTAACTAATCCTATAATAAAAACAACCTATTTGTCCAGAAATAACCAATCAAAACTCAGATACGAAATCAAAACCACGGAGCACTCTCGGAACACGTCCTATCGCCACGCCGCCATCTTCCAAATCCCCCGACTATATCTGTAGTCGTCTGAGCATCTAGACTTGTAAGTTCTCTCATAGAGTTTAAATAATCTATGACTAGAGTTTATATAATCTATGACTACTATATGAGATAGTTATTTCGCGTTTTATTATTTGCTTTATTTATTTTGCTGAAGATGGCGGCGATCGAGTAGGAAGCGTCTGTGTGTAGCTTACCGTAATTTGTGTTTTTTGTTGGTTTTTTTCTGTTGTTGAATTCTATATACTGAGGTAGAGAGGAGGGGACGAGGTGAGAGGTGATATTTATAAACATTTAAGGGGAAGAGGTGTATATACGTGGTTAGAAAGGCGGTAAAGCGGAAAATTTCCCCTGGTTGGCCAGAAACCAGGGGAAAAGGAGAAGGAGAGGAGAAGGAAGAAGGGAGTGGAGAGGAAAAGTGCACGAGAAAAAAGACTAAAAGAGGAAAATGTACAAGGGTAATGAGTGGTGAAGAGGGAGAGACAAAGGAGAGAAATAGAGAGGTGGAGAAGGAGGTTTTGAAGGAATTGAGAGGGAGCTGGGCTTTGGAATACCTGACGGAGGAAGAGGATGCGGTACTAAGTGCAGCAGTCAAGGAACGAGAAGAGGAAAGGGATGGAGTAAATGAGGAGGAAAGGAAGAGTGAGGAAAGAATGCAGACAGAGGAGTGTAAGAAGAGAAGTAGAGAGACGGGGATAGAAGAGGAATATCAGGAAGAAGAAAGTGTTAAGGAGAAGAAAAGGGTTAGAGAGATGAAGTTGATTGAGATCGTAGAGGTAGGGAAGGGGATGACCAATGAGGAACGAGTACAAGAAGAGCAGAGCGAAGATCCTAGGTTGGAGTTGGCAACAATGGGGGCATCAGCGATAGTGGCGACAGAAAAGATGAAACGGTAGCGTGGGGAGACTGGTAGAGACGCTATTTCAGGCGGCCATTGTGATAGAGAACGTGGTACGGAAAGGTTGAGTGAAGTAAGAGTGGAAAGTAAGGACAAAGAAAGTGCGAACGAGGAGGTTTTTGAGGACGATTTAGGTATTAAAAACTTTTCAAATAGCAATAAGATAGTGGGTAGGGATAATATAAGTAGAATAGAGATTAAGGAAAAGGAAATTAATGGAAATATAGCGATAAGGGAGAAAGACGCAGTAGGCGAAGAAAATGGAAAGGAGGAGGCCCACGTGGCGAAAGAATTTAGGAATGAAAGGTTAATAGGTGAAAAAGAAAATAAAGAATGGGCGTTGGAGATGTATAAGGAGGATGTGAAATGGGACGAGTACGTGGTTTGCGTAGTTTTAAGAGGTAGGGTACAAAATAATAAAAATGTAAATAGTAGGAAGATGTCGAAGAGGAATAATCTGATAAAGATTTATAGATTAGTACAGGGTGCAGGGGTGAAAATACATACAATCCGCATGATTGGTTACAGCAAAGCGGAGATTACGACGAAAAAGAAGGAGGAAGCAAACGGGTTGCTGAAAAGGTACGGAAAAGGTGAAGGAAATGTCAAGGCGTTTTTACCGAGAAGGATGGCGTTTAGAAAAGGGGTCATCTACGAGTGGGAGGACTCAATTGAGGAATTAAGGGAGGAGGCCATGCCGGGCCAGGGGCAGTATTGCATGGAAAGAATGAAGAAAAGGCGGATCATAGATGGAAAGGTAGTGTTTACACCATTGAGGACCATTCTGATCACTTTTAAGGGAAGTGTGCTTCCCACGCGTCTGCTGATTGGGCAAGGCCACGTGGGCATCAAAATAGAGCCTTATGTCGAGCAGGTGAAGCAGTGTTACAGATGCCTTAGATACGGACACTATCAGGCGCAGTGTAGGGAGGACGTAAAGAGGTGTGCCATATGCAGCGACAAGTACCATGGACAATGTGAAAATAAACCGAGGTGTGTTAATTGTGGAGGGGATCATGGGTCTTTGGCCAGACTTTCCTGGGTGTGGCAGAGAGAGGCGGCCATTAGAAAAGTAATGGCTTATAAAAATGTAGAATTTGAGACGGCGAAAGGTATAGTGGCGAGATCAACAGGAGACCCGGAATTAGACAGGACAGGAGGTATAGATGACTTTGCAGGCAGTAATGGAGATTTCCCTACCCTTGTAGTGAAGGAGAAAAGGGAAACTTGGGAGAAAAAAGAGGCACCTATCCAGAGGGAGGTGGAATTGATAAAGAAATTGAGGCAAGAGAGGTATGGAGATAGAAGTGGTTTGAGGAGGGGAGAAGGAGAAAGGAAGGCTACGTATAGTGAGGTGATGAGGGCGAATGAAGAGAATCGAGAAGGAGGAAAGCAGAAGGAGCCTGAGCAGGAGGAGGCTAGAGGGAATGATGATAAAGGGGCGAGAAGAAAGGAAGGAGAGGGATGGAAGCAAGTGAAAAGGGGATACAAACCAGCATGTATCAATGAGGAGGCGGATTCTATTCAAATGGGAAATAGATACTTGTGCCTCGAATGCAAGAAGAAGACGGAGGAGATGAAAAGGGAGGGAAAAATCCAAATCTTGAAAAGGATTCCGCGGGATCGGTATATGGTGGGGGAAGAGCCTGAGGGGGAGTGCGATTATGAGAAACTAGAGTGGGCATTGAATAAGGACGAGATGGAGAAGGAGAGGAGGAGGGTTCGAAGAGAGAAACAGATGAATAGGGAGTGGTTGGTGGAGCTAGAGAAAAGAAAGGAGGATGAAATTTTGGAGGAGATTGATCTATTTTTGCAGCGGCGTCAAGATAGGCCTCTTCAACTTCCGAAAAGAGATCATTCTGCACGTAGGTTGACTTTGATGCCTCTCTGCACCGCATCAACTGTCGATGGCCAGAGAAGAAGGAATCCCAATACCGCTCCAGTAGGGCTTTCGTTTGAACCAGCACCGAGCGTGTGATTTTTTCCTTCCCTAATTTGCATAAATTCGTCCAAAACCGTTGGATCCAACCGGCCAACTCCGTTTGCTCTCGTAGTAGATCGTCGAAAGTGGGTGAAGACATTTCGTTATTATGGAGTTTTGCATTTGTATCGAAATGGTACGGTTGACAAAACGTTATGTTCCGTTTTTGTTGTTAGAAGCAGAAAAACAGCGAGCGATAGAAACGGCTACGCGCTGAGGTCGACCGTTGTCACCTCTTTGTTATGGGTGGCAACAATACGGAGACGACTGTTAACGTCTCGCCTCCACGGTAAGGTCACCCAGGAAGTCGATTTAAATGCGCCCGTTACTAACGGCAATGTAACGTTTTGTAACCGTTGGCAATGAAAAAGATACAACGCTTATCTTTTCTTACCGCCACTGCGCTCAAAAATTTCCAAAAAAACTGATCTTCCTTTTCCTTTCCAGAGCCACGAAGTCCAAGTCGTGAAGATTGGCAGGAACCGGCGATGAGTTGCAGTCTTCGAGCGATTATTTCAAGCACTCACGAAAATTGTCACAAGAATTGTTCGTGGAAATCATCCGGCTCGAAGGACCAAATGTTGGGGCAATATCGCTCTTGACGAAAGTCGCGTAGAGTTGGATATTGTTCCCGAGGAAATAAAAACGATAGTTTTTTGCCGGACTTCCGACGGAACAATAAACTTATATTTTAAACAAAAAGGAACTGTACATTGGTCAAAATATTAAATATAATCGCACGACACACACACAAATCAAATGTCCTTTAACGTAATTAACTAACTTATTAAATCCCAAAAGAAAAGGTGCCGAAGCAGTACGTTTTACTGTTCGTGATCGTAAGAAATAGAAAGAACGTTTCGTTTGCCGAAGTTGCTGGTAACAATTCGATACGATAAATAAGTTAACCGTCGCGGAACAAAACATATATCGTTGGAGGCTACCTCCGGCCCCTCCCGCGTCACCCTCGCCACGAGGCTCAGCAGTCGCGCGAGCTGACGAGCGAGCGAGACAGAACGCGCGTTCGAAAACATTTCGACCGTTTCTCAAACACGAAAACATTTCAACCGTTGCTCGAACACAGTCACTGAAGGAGACGACGGCCTTCCACTCATTCTCACTGTGTAACATACGCTCCACAAGCACACTCACACTGACATTTGTACCAACCTCGCACTCCATATAATGGCGTGGCCATGCCCACGCTGGGCATTCCTCAACGGTGTGTTCAACCGTGTCCGGCCCTACCCTACAATGGTGGCAGCCCGGTGACTGCTCCCTGCCGATCCGGCACAGGTACTGGGCAAAACACCCATGCCCAGTCAGCACCTGCGTGAGCCGGAACGAGAGCCGCCCGTGGCCGCGATCCATCCACTGTTCCAGGTGTGGAAGGATCGCCCCGACAGCGCGCTTCTCCGCGGCCCCGCTGGCATAGAGTTCCGCGCGCCAGCGGGAGACAGCAACGCGTCGGGCCTGGAGCCTGACCTCCTCGATGCTGAGCCCCGGCAGGACACCCCCAGTAACCCCCACCAGGCGGAGGGCTCTTCGGTGTACATACACCTCAGCCTCCACCTCCGCCTGATACTTCCAGGGAATTATTCCTGCCAGGACCATCGCCGACTCGTAGGAGATCGTGCGGTAACCCATCGCCACCCTGATCACCAGTCGCCGCTCGACACGCCGCAGAACTATCTGCGACCGGTGCCTGGCGGCCAGGTCGGCAGCCCAAACTGGGGCGCCGTACAGGGCCATACTCCGCACGACCCCCATATAGAGTCGACGCACCTTCTCGCTCGGACCCCTCAGGTTGGGCAATAGGCGCGCCAACGCGCCCGCAACCCGCTCCAACCTGGGGGCCAACGCGTCGAAGTGGCCATCGAACTTCCAGTGGCTGTCCAGTCGGAGTCCGAGATAGCGCATCTCGGACCCGATCTGGACATCGACCCCGTCTACCCGGATCAGAGCTCCGGGCGGAGGCGGGTCCCCACGTGTGTGGCAGAAGGCCATCACCTCGGTTTTGTGGGGAGCCACCTCCAACCCGAGCCCCCGGATCGCGGAAACAACCACCGAGGCTGCCAACTCCGCGAGGCGGCTGGTCCTCTCCCATGTACGCCCCGTTGCCAATATATGCGT